TAACCCTGGGATCATCTTCACAATCGACTTGTAATTTTCCAAAGAGCTACTTAAAAATTCTACTCTGAATCTGAACTCACACAAGTGACTTGACGTTAAAGTTTAAAATTCCCAAGAGTTCTCTTTAAAACTTCCTTTAATTTTCTTTTAAATACATTAGTGTTATCCCTGTCATTCATTTTAAAATGTAAAATCTTCTCAAAATTTCTTCTGCAACATAAAATAAAATCATCTGGTCCAAGAATCTTAAAATTGTTCACAGGCCCAAAACCCTATTTCTTCTCTCTGAAAAACATTAACAGTTAAGTCATTTTTTCCCGATTTGTCACCGAAACTCACAGGTTTTTCCTGGTCTTCCTAGTCATCCCACACCTGCCCGATATCATGCGATCATATGATGTTTTATTTAACCCGTAAAAGCCTGGGACAAACTTTTTATTTTCAAAAATTTGTATGGCCAATTAAATTGAAAATTTTTAAATATCATTCCGATCAGTGGTTCTTACATCTGTAGGGTGGTACGCCTCCCAAGCCCCCTTCCTCTTTGTTATTATTTTCGTGGAACTTTCGGAAATTATAGTGAACAATCATAAGATCGCATGACTACCATGGAATCGGTTCCGGATGTTCCGGATTATGGTTCCGTATGGTCAAATTTATTATCTCAGATAACCAATCATGCGACATATCAAATCACATCTACTCGATGAAATATGACCAATGGCACTCAAAATGATAACCATAGATCCATATGGGTTGCATATGGTCAAATTTAATATCTTTCATAACCATATCAACAGTTGGCGCCGGTGGTGTAGTGGTAAGCATGACTGCTTACTCACCCCAATGAGTCTGGATTCAATTCCAGCCGAGGTCGGTGGGATTTTTCTAAAAATCTCTGGTCACGTCTTCCTTAGGAAGGGAAGTAAAGCCGTTGGTCCCGGCCCATGTGTGTTGTGAATGGGTGCGATATCCTACGCAGGTGTGGAAGCTGCCTTCCTGCACATTCGATTGCCGTCAAAGGATGGCAATCGATGTCCGTTGGTGATTGGCACTAGATTGCGGAACAGAGACCGACGTTAAATAAAGGAAAGAAGAAGATAACCATATCAAGCGACATATTAAATCACATCTACTCGGCAACATATTACCAATGACACTCCAAACAACAACCATGGAACCATATCGTCACCGTAGGACCAGTTTTGGATACTCCGGATCATGGTTCCACATCGTCAAATTTAACATCTCTCATAACCATATAAAGCGACATATCAAATCACATCTACTCGACGAAATATGATCAATGTCACTCAAAACAACAATCATAGAGCCATTTGACCACCGTAAAAACGGTTCTGGATATTTCGGAATACAATTCCGAATTGGTAAATTTGATATGACTCATAACCATATCAAGCGACATATTAAATCACATCTACTCGACGAAATATAATAAATGGCATCCATAGATCCATATGGTCACAGTAGAACCGGTACTGGATGTTCCGGATTATGGCTCCATTTGGTCAAATTTGATATCTCTCATAACCATTATCAAGTGACATATTAAATATCATCTATTCGACGAAACCAACGGCCATATGGCCATCGGTTCCGGATATTCCAGATTATGGTTCCGAACGATAAATTTCGTTATCTTTTGAAATTATATCAAGTGACATATCAAATCACATCTATTCGACGGAATATGACCAATGGAACTCAAATAACAACCATGGCCACCGTAGAACAGGTTGCAGATATTCAGGATCATGGTTATAAACCGGTAAATTTGTTATTTATCTTAACCATAGCAAGCGACACGTCAAATCACATCTACTCTACAAAATATGACCCATAGTTCTAACAATTAATAACAGAGCCTTATGGCCACTGTAGAACCGGTTCCGGATATCCAGAATTATGGTTTCACATGGTCATCGGTTTTTTTTTTCTTTTGCTGCGTATTTTTCGTAAGCGAATTAAACACATTTTGGCTCTAAATTTGTTAATTTGTGTGCTGAAATTTAGCTGCAAGTGTTCATAAAGTTATCATTTAGTGATATCGTGTTTTTCCTGTGTTTGCCTAGAGTGGCTCGGTTGAACTTGAATCTTACCTCCAAAATATACAACGCAGATTCAGTTCCATTGTTCGGTGTCAATTTTCATTGCCTCCCGGGAGCCCGTTTTTTTTTGTTTTTTTTTGTTTTTCGTCGATCTTGTTTTCCGTGCTGAGCACCAATGCTACCAACGCCAGGGAGTCAGCTCCCACACATGGACCCTACCTATCGACCCATCAACTCATGAACCGGGGACCAACGGCTTTACTTCCCTTCCGAAGGAAGGCGTGATCAGAGATGTTATGGCTCAGAACACACCCAGCGGCGCCGACTGGGATTGGAACCCATGCCTGCTGGGGTGAGAGGTAATCACGCTTACCACTACACCACCGGCGCCGCTGGGGAACCCGGTTCTCCGAGTTCGGATGCTACACTTTCGGCGTGTAGTTCTATTGAGAGATCGGTCCGGTTGGTGAATTAGCCCAGGAACGTGTTGATAATGTGTCCGCCGCGAGTTTTGGTTAGGTTAGGTTATCGTTATTAGCGAGACTTTCAGCCAGAGGCTGGTTCATCTCTTGCGAGTTTTGGTGGTGATTCGGTGGCCGACGTTGCCGGCAGCAAGTTTTCCGCTTGCAAAAGTGCTCGGCTGCTGGTCTCTCACCGGTGTCGGAGATTGCGAGCAATATGAAAGACGCCTCGCTGGATACGCCCAAGACTGGACGGTGGCCGCGAACTGTTCCTGGGGAAAGCACTACACGTGAACCTCCTCCCAGATGACCATGACAATGCAAGAAAATTTGTGTTCGTTAAAGGAAGTATTACGACAAAGGTGCATCACGAAATGAGATGCAAAGCTTTTCTCTAAGTGAAAGTAACTTCGGAATGGGCGTGACTCTCCAGACATTCTGAAATGGGTTGCTGGATCTGCAATAGAGCTATTTCTTTCTAACTCCCGGACTAAAGCTGTCTACAATGACCATAAATGCGACATTGTAGAGAGGGTTCTTCCATAATAACACTTTCGGCCAGTGGGGGTTAGAGGGAAGACACACACACACATGGTCAAACTCGTTATCTATCATTGCCATATCAAACCTACTCAACGAAATATGGCCAATGGCACTCAAAACAACAATGATAGAGGCACATGGTAACCTAAAAGCTGATTTAAGATGTACCGAATATATGTGGCATAATATAGCGGGACTGAATCCGACAAATCCGAAGTCGATATCAACAGAATTTCAGAAACATAAGTGAAGGTGAATCGACGATACACTAATACCCCGTTCACATTACAGCGTATATCACGTGATATACGCTGTCTTGCAATGGGCACTCATACATCTAGTTTTCACTGGAAATCCTATGTATGAGTGCTCATTGCAAGACAGCCTATATTACATGATATAAGCCATACACAGCAAAAAATTAATTTTGATATCACATCAAAGTGAATGCACTTCAATCGTGTCAAAAATATGGTGTATTTAATATTACTTGCCAAAAAGGACAACATTATCATTAATACCGTGCATGAACTGACATTACGCTGCTTTTAATGCATTTGTTTATTTTTGTGGCCATAAAAATTGCATGAGATTTTCGACATGATTGAAGTGCATCCTCTTGGATGTAATATTAAAATTTATTTTTTGCTGTGTAGTCTGTCCAGGGTATAAGGAGGAACGGAAACAAAAGCAAGTGCTGAATTAATTAGAACCAGGCAAGATATCGCAGCAGCTCGCTAGTCATGGCAGTTGAGCTGAGAGAAGAGCCTTAACAAGAACGTCAAGCTAGTCGGTAGAATTTGGACCAGGGCTCAGGTCAAAGTAAAAACAAGTATCCTCCCAGGATGGAAATATTTCATGTTTATAGGGGGAAGGGAAGTCGGCGAATTAACAAGGAAGGGAAGTTGTATGTATGGGAAACGGAACAACACTATTCATTTGCTTGCGAAAAGTCAAGAAACTTTATTTAAGACGTCAATCCCAGAGGGTTACTTTTTCCCCTGCTAGATTTCATTCCTCCTGATTGGTTGGTATGGAATAATCGCATAAACGATTGAAAAGTGATAAGTGTATTTAATCGATTAGTTAATTGTTCACATACAATTTGTTGACGTCAAAAAGTTTAAATCGAATATCAAGTTAATGGAATGATGTAATCGAGAAGTTATTAGGCTTTTCGTTAATCAAATTGATTATTTCATGGATAGTACACTATGTTGCATCATCACAATTGCAACATAGTATACTTTCCATGAAATAATCCATTTGATTAACGAAAAGCCTAATAACTTCTCGATTACATCATTCCATTAACTTGATATTCGATTTAAACTTTTTGACGTCAACAAATTGTATGTGAACAATTAATGCACGCTACGGTAACGTGATCTCATCGAAGGAGCTGAAGATGGTGGCTGGTCGTTGGTTCCCATCGTCCGCAGGACTTTTGATCAACATGTTTCGCACGCTTCCAGCACATAATGCTCGAGCCCGATAACCTTGCACTAGTAGAATGGTGACCCTGGCGCAAGTTCACGCCAGTAATCTAATCGGTTCAAGGTGATTAATGAATCTACGACACTTTTTTTTCGTCATTTCATCATCATCGTCACGGCCAAGCCACGAGGATCATGTTGATTTTTCTTTTTGGGTAATCTCCATCGTAAAATGTGTGTGCTTCCGAACGAGCTCCGATAGAGGCCACCATTTCACGAGGTCAATGTGTCTTCGCCGGCATTTCCCCCCTGTTTCGATTAGCGTAGGTTAGAAACAAAAAAGAAGTCAATCTTCGAGGACTACTTTTTTCGCTCACCACATTCAATGTTTAGGTTTAATCACATATTGTTGACTTAGGCAAATTATTCCAAACATGCAGTTTTGATAACGGAACGATAATGTTCTCTTTTTGTTGCGCTTTCATTTTCAGAGAGGTTATATACTGATAAACACGAATGGGTCTCCGTTGAGGGTGAAGTTGGAACGGTTGGCATTTCGAACTTTGCACAGGTAGGCAATCTTTACGAGCATGCTATTGATGCATTTGTAAACACAGCATTCGTTTATGTAGGAAGCCCTCGGTGATGTAGTATTCGCACAACTCCCGGATGTTGGAACCAAGCTATCGCAGAAGGACGAGTGCGGTGCGCTGGAGAGCGTGAAAGCGGCCAGTGAAGTGTACTGTCCGGTGTCCGGAGTGGTTACGGAGAAAAACAGCGCCGTCGAGGAAACTCCCGGTTTGGTCAATTCTTCCTGCTATGAAAATGGTTTGTTGCAACGACGTTAGGTACAAGTTGGGAGTGTTTGAAACTATCATGTTCGAATCATTTTAGGATGGCTATTCAAACTGAAGCTGACGAAAACGGACGAACTGTCGAAGCTGATGAACGAGCAACAGTATGGAGATTTCCTCAAGAACGACGGACATTAGCTCTTATCGGAGCTAATGTTTGTAGAAGGTCAAAGCTTGTTGGTTGGAACCGAGCAGCTAATCGATTGTTGCCATCATCTATGCATTAGTAACTAGTTGCTACGCCTGATAAGTCCTATGTTGATCGAATGTTTGTAATTTATAAAGTAAACATATTTTTATTGCCAAGATCGTTCCGAATGTATCCTTATTTGACAGTCCAATGATATAGGGGATGAGTGATTGACGATCCTGGAATAAAATATAAAACCGGTGCGGAACGATCGAAGAGATCAATTCAAACACATCTCGTTGTTTTCAGAAGGGGATGGTTATCAACAATGAGACGCCAGAATCAATGAGCCACTAGAGTTTTGCACTTGTTTAAATTGTAGTTAACCGTGATTGACCACCTTGTGGAAAATTTTCAAAAATACAAAACAAATGGTACCGTTCGGACGCTTTTAAAAGGTAATTATTAATCTCACCATGCGTAAAATAGCACCAATTTTTTATGATGGTTCATATTCGCTTTGTGCAAAAGGTGATGAATGATAAAATGTCCGGATTAATAAACCGTCAGTCAGCCGGTGTGCTACGAGACATGTAATTTAATTATAAAAATAAAGAATTCGTAAATTTGATAAGGTCTGCCTAATGTTTACAAAAAAAAAATAAGTTCGATTCGATTTGATATCAAAAAATTTTAAAAAGCAAAGATATGTAGTTGTCGGGGGCCTCAGTTATGGCTCGGTATTGTCAAGCCAGCCGGTCCAGTCTCGGAAATATTTGTCAGGCTAGAAAATATCTTGACTTTCCCGGGCATAGAGTGCAATTGTGCTTGCCTCACAATATACAAATTCATACATTGGTTGGCAAAAGAAGCTCGCAATTGATAACTGTGGAAGTGCTTGAAGAGCAATAAGTTGAGAGCAGGTGAAAGCTCGCTTAGGAGCGTCATAGCCCAATAGAAGAATGTAGCTGTCCAGTAATAGGAACAATAAGACATGGCATATTTAGTTATGTTAACATTTATGATTATTAATACATGTTTTCAATTGTAGATTTTGAAAAATAACAAAATTTTAGTCAAGTTTTTTGAGCAAGAAAATACGAAAACCAATGCATTTGCATTTTTTTTATGCTTCATAAACTAGTCAAAAATTATGTCATGTTTCAGAAACTACACTTGAAATTGACCATATTCGCAGATGCACTTTCGTATGAATAGCATATTTCTTCATAGCACTTATTGACCCATTCCTATACGCCTCAAATATAAATCATGGATGATTTGAAACACGATTGTTTATTAAATTGCACATTTATTAGGAGTTGTTTAAGTGTCAAATAAAGGAAAATATCCAAAATATCACATCAAAAGATACTTATCCACAGCGGCGAACAAAGATATGCTCATAACCTTTGAATATCAAGTTTTCATATTGTTTTAATTTCCGAAGATAAGTTGTCCATTGCAGCCAATGGCTAATAGCCTGTATCAGTGTTTTTTTTTTATCTAATTCTTTTATTTGGAAGGCTCAATCGCGAGAGCTTTACAGATTCGATAATTCATTATTCATTGCAGGGTTCATTGTTTGTAAATTCACTTATTTATATGTCTAGAAGGAGTTGGGCCGAATACTTGCGGCTTACCCGAGGTTAGAGGGATACATACATACGATGCTAGAGGGGTCAAAGGATAGGATCAGGGGAGGAGCTTGGGGTTGGGGTTTCGTTGTCTCATCAGAGCGTTGTCAGCAGTATGAACAGTAGTGCGGTTCTAGATTCGTCTGGAGTTCGACTGGCTATGGTGACCAGTGGGTGCCGATGAGACTCATCGAGACGGGGGACAAGCAGTGTTGGGAAAAAATCAAACAAGCCGTGATATCATAGCTACGAATATCAAGCTAACAAATCTCAACAGCTACAATTGTAACCAAACAAATGATTTTTGCTTTACATCCGACCGCGACCTGAAACTACCATCACTGCTGGTAGCAGTAGCTTCGTATCTGCCATCGGCGAAGAGTAAAATGAGTAAGCAGGCTATTTTTTTTTTTTTTTTTTTTTTTTTTTAACTCTTTATTTGTTTCAAATTCAAAATAAATTACATTTCATTTTTAACCTAGGTGCTCCAGTTACTACAGTAACTTACCAGCCTTAATTGTTATGATATATATCTAAGTGTTTTTACATTGTTCCTGTCTTGGCAATTCAGTATTTTAAACAGGTTTTTTAAACCTGCATGTCAGTATAACAATTGATAGCTTAAAACTAAATAACTAAAACTAAATCTTATCTAAGTATAAAGGGAATTAATCGTTGCAATTGAGGATTGTAACGATTTTTGCCGGAAATTATTAATTATTTTGTTGGACATTTGTGCTAAAGTCTCAACATTCGAAATTCTATGTACTTCGGTAGTACTGTACCAGGGAGGCAACTTCAAAATCATCTTCAGAATTTTGTTCTGAATCCTTTGAAGTGCTTTTTTCCTGGTAGTGCAACAACTAGACCATATTGGCACAGCGTAAAGCATGGCCGGTCTAAAAACTTGTTTAAATATTAGAAGTTTATTCGTCAGGCAAAGTTTGGATTTCCTGTTTATAAGAGGATACAAACATTTTATATATTTGTTACATTTGGCTTGAATGCCCTCAATGTGATCTTTAAAAGTTAATTTTTGGTCAAGTATTAATCCAAGATATTTCACTTGGTTTGACCAGGAAATTGGAACTCCGTTCATAGTGACTATGTGACTACTACTAGGTTTCAAAAACGAAGCTCTAGGCTTGTGTGGAAATATTATAAGTTGAGTTTTGGAAGCGTTGGGAGAAATCTTCCATTTTTGTAAATAAGAAGAGAAAATATCTAAACTTTTCTGAAGTCTGCTGCAAATAACACGAAGACTTCTTCCTTTAGCGGAAATGCCTGTGTCATCAGCGAACAAAGATTTGTGGCAACCCTGAGGCAAATCAGGGAGGTCCGAAGTGAAAATGTTATACAATATAGGCCCAAGAATGCTACCCTGAGGAACTCCTGCCCTAACAGGTAGTCGATTAGATTTGGAATTTTGATAATTTACCTGCAGAGTTCTGTCAGTTAAATAATTTTGAACTAATTTCATAATGTAAAGTGGAAAATTAAACTTTTTCAATTTAGCAATCAAACCTTCATGCCAAACACTGTCGAATGCTTTTTCTATGTCTAGAAGAGCAACTCCAGTTGAGTGGCCTTCAGATTTGTTTGAACGAATTAAATTGGTAACTCTCAAGAGTTGATGAGTAGTTGAATGCCCATGGCGAAATCCAAACTGCTCATCTGCAAAAATTGAGTTCGTATTGATGTGAAGCATCATTCTATTCAAAATTATTTTTTCAAAAAGTTTACTTATTGAAGAAAGCAAACTTATTGGACGGTAGCTAGAAGCTTCAGCTGGATTTTTATCCGGCTTCAAAATTGGAACAACTTTTGCATTTTTCCATTTATCAGGAAAGTATGCCAAATGGAAACATCTGTTAAATAATTTTACCAGGAAAGACAAGGTACTCTCTGGGAGTTTTTTGATGAGGATATAGAAAATTCCATCATCACCTGGAGCTTTCATATTTTGAAAATTTTTAGTTATAGACCTTACTTCGTCCAAATCAGTCCCCCAGGAATCATCAAAAATATTTTCCCGAGAGAAAATATTCAGAAAATCCCGAGCAACCTGATTCTCAATAGGACTAGTAAGACCCAAACTGAAAATTATGGGAACTCTCGAATTGCTTAGCAAGTTTCTGAGCTTTTTCCAAATTTGTGATCAAAATTTTACCACCTTCTTTAAGCGCTGGAATTGGCTTTTGAGGTTTTTTCAAAATTTTTGTGAGTTTCCAAAAGGGTTTGGAACTCGGGTCTAATTTAGAAACATTATTTTCAAAAGTTTTGTTCCTCAGGGCAGAGAATCGCTTTTTAATTTGTTTTTGCAAATCCCGCCAGATAACTTTCATGGCAGGATCGCGTGTTCTTTGAAATTGTCTCCTACGGACATTTTTAAGACGGATCAAGAGCTGAAGATCATCGTCTATTATAATTGAATCGAATTTAACCTCGCATTTTGGTACTGAGGCAGCTCTTGCTGCAACTATAGAAGTAGTCAGAGATTCAAGAGCATAATTAATTTCATCTTTGGTTTGCAAAGGAATGTTTGGATCGAAGTTATATTCCATAAATGTTCGATATTGCTCCCAATCAGCCCTATGGTAATTGAAAGTAAAGCTGTTGGGATTACAAATTATTTCTTGGGATATTTCAAAAGTTACTGGAAGGTGATCAGAACCGAAGTCAGCATGGGTAACCAATTGGCTACAAAGTTGACATGAATCAGTTAAGACCAAATCAATAGTGGAGGGATTTCTTGCAGAAGAAAAGCATGTTGGGCTGTTTGGATATTGAATAGTGTAATAACCTGCAGAACAATCATCAAACAGAATATTACCATTGGAATTGCTTTGAGCATTATTCCATGAGCGGTGTTTTGCATTAAAATCACCAATAATGAAGAATTTAGACCTATGACGGGTAAGTTTCTGGAGGTCACCCTTGAGAAAATTCTTTTGCTGGCCTACGCATTGGAATGGCAAATAGGCAGCTATAAACGTAAGTTGTCCAAATTTTGTTTCAACAGAAACTCCCAAAGTTTCAAAAACTTTGGTTTCAAATGAAGAAAGAGTTTTATGCTTGATTCGTCTATGAATAATGATGGCAACGCCACCACAGGGTCCATCAAGACGATCATTTCTATAAATCAAGTAATTTGCGTCCTTCTTAACCTTATGGTCAGGTTTAAGGAACGTTTCAGTTATAACGGCAATATGCACGTTATGAACTCTCAAAAAATTAAATAGCTCGTCTTCATTATCTTTAAGAGATCGAGCATTCCAATTTAAAATGTTTAATGCTTTAAAATCCATTACTGAATTTTAAAGTCATGACAATATTATTAGCAAATTTTACTCCAGTTTGAATAGCATCAAACATGGAGTTAGATTTAAGCATATCAGAAATCATGTCAATTAATGAATTCTGTAAAAATTCCATTTTAGGAGCAGTAATGCTTCCTAAGTCAAAATTGTCAAAATTTCCGTTAGAACGTTGGTTAGTATTTTGATTTCTACCCGCTGCAATAGCAGCATAGGTAGCTC